AAAGGCTTAAACGACATTTCTGGTAAAAGTACACTTTATACTCGTATATTTGAAAATGTTCTACAATGGTTGAAAAATTCCATTCACTTTTAAATATTAAGCATTTTTTTGATATATCTCTCCTTAAACAGTGCTTGACTCTGGGACTCAGACCATAATTCTTTATATACACCTTCATATAAAATTCGAGTATTCCTTCCAAGCCGAACCAAAAACCACTCCAAAAAATAGTTCGCTTCGGTTCGAAATCCACTTATTTAAACATTTTTCAAGTTTCGTAATACACAACTTTGTGAAAAAATGCAACCCTATGGTAAACCAGCAAACATTTTTGATTTTAATGGCATCTCTGCGAGTTATAATTTCATCCATATAAAAAATGTGTGAAATGTTATAATATGGGAGAAAATGCATATAACCGCTAGCAAAAAGATTTAAATCCGACAAAAAATGCCAAAAATCCACTTAAACCTTAAAAATATTTACTAGAAATTCTCATTAAAAAGTTTGCAGCTTAGATAAAACTTTGAAGATTTTTCAAAATTTTTTCACAAAATTTTAAACTTGGATTTAATCAGTTTTAGTTGGACGACAAAAGGTAAACCTTAAATAAGCAAAAAAATATAGCCAAAATTGTTAAAATACTATAAATGTGGATGTTTGAATTTGATCTCAGTAACAAAGCCTTTTATTTTTATATACATAGATTTGTATCCTTTACAATAAACAAATTTAACCATTTGAACCGAACCGAACCGCGGTTCGGGAATACCCATGAACCGGTTCTTGAACCCGTACAAGATTTCACTAAGTGGATCGAACCACTGAACCGAACCGCACTGTTTTTTGGAGTGGTTTGCAGCCCTTATATGAGAATGAAACAACTCTTCGAAATCAGTCCAGCAAACACTCCACACTCTAACAATTATTGGAAATTAGTTTTCCCTGAAAGTTGCTTGCAGTTGAATGTAGTTTATTGCTGCCAGCAAATAAAATTTTCAACAAGAGCGCAAACTTTTTATTTTGTGTGTGGCAGTTAAATTTCAGAACAATTTATGGTACTAATAAACATTCACAAATCCTAACACAAATATCGCAGTTAGTCGTACGTGCGTCGGACCGTAACTGGGTAATTATTTTTCGATTATACAAACAAGCAAAGTTTTTCTCACAAATGCATTTTTTTCCATTTGTTTTGCATGCGAATAGAGCCAACTAACTTTGATTGTGTGCATGTATGTAAATTTAGTGCAAATAAAATTTGAAAAGGACTTTAATTTGGCAATAGAAAAGCACGTGTGCGCACTCGAGTGGCATTGGAAGGGGAACGTATGTACGTACATATAAACCTTTTCCTTAATGGATGCACATGCGGTGGATATTTTTGTAGATTTTTTTTTGGGTAACACATAGAAAAAAACATATTTACGCTAACACATGCATCTGTATGTGGGTGTAGAATGGATACGCATTAAATGGTTTAGTAAAAGTTGACATTGTTTGAACTTCTGGTTTTGCTTTTTTTTCGCACAATCTAATGTGATTACTGTGTAATATGCTAATAGTAATAAAACAATTGAAAAACGACTGAATTAAATGGCAGCAGCAATGGCATTAAAACTTTATGCAAACAATGTTTGCAAACTCATTTGCATATTTGCTCACATATACATATGTACACATACATGTAGTATGTATGTACATTAGACTGCATCACTCACCATACAAAAAAAGTTGCTACTGTTTTTCCATTTTAAGTATAAAATCTAATCTACATTTGAAGATTTGCACCAAAATAATTTGGAAAAAATATTAAGATTTACTTGAGCTGGATTTATTTGAAAATTCCTGCAAAAATGTGCAAGAATAAAACTAGTTTTTTAAAAGTATTTTTCAAAAAAAAAATCACCTCAAATGACAAAACAGTTTAAACTTAAAAATTTTGCATTAAAAATATTGAAAACATTTTTCAACGGAATCATAATAATGAGATTTTTGATGCTGTTTCTAAACTTTTTTCAAAGACTTGTTTTTAAGAAAAACGTGAATAACTCAGCCAAAACTTTACCAATTTAGGCTTATGGGATATAATTGGAAAGGTATTTTTTTCTATTTCTTTACAAATAAACTCATGTCATCTGAGGGGATTTTTTTAAAAAAATCTTTTAAAAAACTATTTTTATTCATGAAAAACTAACTTTTAGCAGTAAATCTTAATATTTTTCAAAAATATTAGTGTTGAAGTCTTCAAATATAGTAAATTTTGTAATCCCGGCGGAAAAACTGGTACTTTTCTTGTTGATGTAGTCTAATGTACATACATACATACATATGTATACCGTTATGCAGGTGTATTTGACAAACTCAATTTATTTACAGTCAGCTATATACATACAAATAAATAATTTAGTAAAATTCAATTACACCTACTCCTTTCGGGTTGAGTACACATGACATATCGAAACTTTTGCAATTCAATTGAATTTGTACATATTTATACCTGCATACATGTGTACATATGTACATACATACATACATACATATGTGCATTTAGAATGTTAAATACGCATATCTATGCTTAAAGGCATTTGACACAAGTTTTTTCCCCAGAGTAAGTATGCACACATACATACATAGTAAGTATGCATGTATGCATCGTTATTGGATACATGCTTTTCGCAGCCAGTGTTTTATGCGTAAATTTGCTTGGAGAATTCGAAATCATATATTTTTGATTTTTTTTTTTGGAATACCAACAGTATATTGTTCGGAGCTTGAAAGCTCCCAGACAACTATATCATCCTTCAAGTAGAAGTACACGCTGCATCCAGAGCAGCGGAATCAGCCACCAAACTCACGCGTAAACATATTCATAGGCGGGCTGCTATCAAAGCAATAACGGTTGTGAAGACCAACTCGCTCTTTGTACAGCAGTGTAAGACCAGCAGTAGAATTCGATTCAAGAACGCCCTAACTCAGTTGAAAATACACTGTACATGTGCTGAGATAGAGCGTTTTTGAATCGGCAGCTGAGGTAAGGCGTTCTTCAACCAAATTCTGAGATAGGGTATTTTTAAAACGAATTCTCAAATAGGGCGTTCTTCAGTGAAATAGGGCGTTCTCGAAAAGTTTTCTGAGATAGGGCATTTTCGAACTGACTACCGAGATAGGTCGATCTTCCACTCAGGTATCGATATGTGATTTATTTGGATATTTTGTTAATAGTAAAATTGTTTCATTTTACCTATTTTGAAGAAAATTATGGATTCTATTGCATCTGCGCTAGGGAAATGAATTCACAAAGGTATGCGGAGCTTACGGGTACTGCAACCATGGACGCATCTATGTCAGCTTCTGGATTAATTGTTGAACCATAAGCCTTAGCTCTTCCTATGCCTGGATGCCTGATTCTCAATCCAGTTAATACAATAACAGCTTCTTCCAAGATATTGAAAACATGCTATTGAAAATATGCATTTTACGTGTGTGTTAAAGTTTTTAGTTTCGGATCATGCGTATGGACTAGAGATGCTACCTGATAGCTTTTGGATAAATCTAGATATTGAAACCGTTATAGCAATGCACGGCCAGAAGGCCGTATTTTAGTTTTTTAAGAAAATTAATTAAAAGGCTTTTTTTGGCAAATTATATAAATCGATCTCGGTGAATCATTTTATTTTCTGACGATTTCTTCCTGCATCGATTATTTTTGTTTCGATTCGAATCGATTCAAAAATTGATTTATTTTTTTTTGGATCTGGCATCTCTAGTTTGAACACAACAACGCAAAATCATTGTACAAACAACTATGTTCTTTCTCTCGCTAGCGGGAAAACGCCGATATCGGGATTGGGAAACTGTTGAAGTACGCGAAACGGTACATTACTTGTAGACTTCAGGATACTCAGCTCTACTAGCAGGCCTTTGCATAATGCCTTTGCAACATTTGCAACTTCCTTACTTATATCTTTATTTGTAACTTTATCTTTAGCTGCATGTTTATCTCTACTTTTATCTTAATCTTAATCTTTATTATATTTATCTCCAACTTCATATTTATCTTTACTTGAACTATATGTATTTTTTATTTTTTATTTTTTATTTTTTATTTTTGAAATTTATTTTTATTTTTATCTTTACTTTACGCACATCTTTTTATTAGGATTTTCTTTTATCTTTATCTTGATTTGTATCTTTATATTCAAATTTAACTTAATCTTTATCTTAATTTTTATCTTTACCTTTACCCTTATGTTTATCTATATTTTTATCTTTATCATCCTCTTCGTCCTCATATTCATCTTTATCTTTATCTTCAGCTTCACCTTCACCTTAACCCTCAGCGGCATGACGGTTTCTGTCTCACAGACAATACTGATAATTTTTCTCATTTCGATATACCTTTTAATTAAATTAACTCATAGGAATTGCAAATCATTTCAGTAAAATAATTTCGAAAATACATATATACAAGCATACTTTAAATAACAGCCAAATATCTTTGCTTTTATTTCAGATGGATCAGTATCTGCATTTGGTGAGCGAAATTAAAAAACAACAACAACAAAGCAGAGTAAATGCACTCAGGCATAAAGCCATTTGCCGAACGGAATTGGAAATTTTAATTAAAATGGTGCATACATAGTATTCGTCTAAAATTTGCTAAGTCTCAATCGAATAAAATATAAAAAAAAACAGAGAAATTAAACAATAAAAGTGGGATTAGGAAAGTGCCACTGGGAATTGTATGTGGCGTGAAATCCAATAAAAATTAATAAAACTTGCCACCTTTTGATTAGCAAAATTTTTTATGAATATCCCAAAACTAATTCATCAGCGCTTTTTCAATAGAACTGCTGCCGTTATAACGACCAACGTTATAGCTCACCAATGTGAAATCATTTTTTTTTTCATGGCAGTCCATTTGCTGTTCCTTCGAATTGAATTTGTTTCAATGAAATTCTAAACAAAACAAAAAAAAGGGGTATAGCATTGTGCTTGTTCTATTTAGAATAGCACGCGAATTTGAATTCGCCATATCGATTACTCTGCTACTAGTTAACAACTTTGTGCGCATTTCTGCGTATTCGCCGGTTGATGGGCGCTTTTACTTTGGCGGATGTTGGCAAAATGGAGCGTTGTCGAAATTGGTTTTGTGCGCGTAGTAATAATAATGACTATGCCGAGGTAGCTGTAAATGATCCGCTAAAAAATCTAACCAATTCCATTTCGGATACAATACGTGACCATGTACGCGACATGAGTAGTAGTAATGGTGGTACCGCCATAACCGCACAATCAGCTGCCACAGCCACAGCCACAAGCACAGTCAGCGCCACCGCCGCAACGGCGGGAACGACAATGTCATCATCAACAACGGCCTCGCATGTGGTAACCTTTTTGGATGATATTGGTGCGAGCGGCAGTAATGGTGCGGTTACGACGAGTAGTCGTGTTGTGAGTCACACAGAGTTGCATACACCGCTGGCCGATGGTAATTTAGATGTTATCGAAGCGGTGGAGGATTTCGCCAATGGCACGGGCATCGGTTTGTCGCTATGCGATGATAGTGTACCGTCATCGAAGAATTGCTATCGTCTCATTATGTTGGGGTAAGTGAAGTTATACACCTGAAGTAGTATTTATAAATGTAATAATGAATCTGGTGTAAGCAGCAGCTAAGTGAAGGGCCAATTTAAATACGAAAATAGTGCAAACACACATGCATTATATGTATATATGTATGTATGCTTCAAAATTTATATTGCTTTATTAAGTACGCAAATTTGGATTCCAGGTATTTTAACCGTCAGGAAATCATATTTGACTACCTATTCGGCTAAATGCTTTATTTAGTGAGTCCGACTGTGTGTATGTTGTACATGGCGTATGAGTAATAATAATACGGCGATATCAATCTGCGGCGAATTTTGTTCACACGGTCTGATTATCAAAATTTTCTGTACGTCTTAGTTTTCGAAAAACAAAAAAAAAAACATAATAAATCAATCTTTATAATATATACATATTACTTATGTATAAACGTGAAAGTTTGTGAGTAGCTCAGTAGGTTCCTTACTCTTTCACGCTAGAACGGATTTAGATAAAATTTTATACACAAATCAGGGACCGTAACGGTTACAACTTTTATTCTCGCTATTTAACAGTTAGTTTTTGACTTTTATTTAATTCCTCCTTAAATAACGGTTATGTATGATTTTTATTTTATAAATCCAAAATAACAATTATTTTTTATTTTTGTCCAAATAATCAGGAAATAACAGTTAGTTTTGATTTTTAAACTAAATGTCTCAGATAACAGTTATTGAAGACCTTTATTTATAAAAGCCATAAATAAAAATTAGTCGGTGACTTTTACTTTAAAAATCATCAATATAAATTAGTCACTGGCTTTTATTTTTTAAATAATACTTATAATTGCTTAAGCTAAACAAAATATAACAATACATATATAAATAGCAAGGTATAATTTTTTTTCGACTTTCGTACATATTTGAAAGCAGGCTCATTTGAGAGGGTGATTCTTCTGTTACGAGATATAATGATTTATATGGAGGGACTTCGAGAAAATTTCCCAAATCCAGATATCTTTTTCCAATAAAGAATCAAGTTTTTAGAAACTTTTTTAATGACTTAGGGGATGTGCAGGTCAAACACTGAGAAAAATGAAAAATCGCGATTATCCAAACCGTTTGCCGACCTCTAAAACGCAGTCGATTTCGGATTAGTGGTTCCTTTTGTAAACAAGTTAAAACCAGGTTTAAAAAGCCGCATGGTCCAAATAGGGGCAACAAACACACTGTGGGAAAGGTAAAGCAAATTAAAATAAGTGCATACAAAAAAATATCGATTTTAGGGAACTTTTGGAACTCCTTGCCGATCCTTGAAAATTGTTTTATTGTAAAATTATACATCAAATTAGTTACGGAGTGAGTTTAAAGAAATCGCATGCTACAGAAATCTTATTGAGAATAATTTCCGGCACTGCTCAAAAATGTGTACATTCTATTTCCGAAAATAGTCCTTTATAAAAAAATAACATTAGTTTACAATCTATAAGTTTTTCGCTTGTCACGTGCTAACAAACTTTTATGTGTGTTTTCAGACAAATAATAAATTTCGAGTTAATGCAATTATGAAGAACGTCTACTTTCGCACTTGTTTTGTTGCCAAATAAATTCAAATATACAAGTAAATAAAGCAACAACCTAGTATATCTTTACATAATTACCTCTTCAATGAAATTTTCATTTACACAGACTTAATTATACGTAATCACCTTTTTCCAACAACTGATTGCCTGATAAGAGCAACAATTAAATATAGCTTCGGGCATGCGCACCATCGCTATTTTATTTCGGGGGGTACAAACAAACGTTTACTTATATATACATATCTCACCCATATTTAAATGCTCCAGTCACGCAAAGCCGCATTACAAAGTTGTATAAGTAACCATTAAAACAAACAGATATAAGCACATACATATATGTATGTATATAGTATACCCTCTTTAATTGATTTAGCGGGATGTTGATACAAACAATTAACGAAACAAGATTCGCACTTCACCTGCTGCCACCTCCATTCAGAAATCTTTTATACAAATTTACGGTATTCAATTAACTCGCGGGTTAACGTTACAGAAGTACATATACACACAGGCATACATACCCAGTGGGAAAATTTGATGTATAGTAATCGAAAAAATAATCAGTAAAACAACCCTTTCCACAATTCGAAAATGCTTTTTTTCCCCAGGGCGATGTCCTAAGAAAATTGACGCATTCAATTTTTCATTACCTAGTATCGAGAAATGAATGTGTTTTAATATGAAATTTTTGTAACTTTTTGAATATATTAGAATGCTAATTACATAGTTAGCAGTAATATAATCGAGTACTCAGAAGAAATACATTGTATTATTTATCACGCATGTAATGCATTACTACTTTTCCGACTGGGTACTTTTGCATTAGAAGAAATGCTAGTGTAAGTTAAATGTAAATGTAATTAAATACCTTATTATACGTCATGATTTCTGGCTGCCCAAAATTAATGAATAATTTGCGATATGTATCTGTCTGTCGTCAGCATGTTGCGCAGCAAAATCCACGTATTTCAGTAACACGGAAAGCAGTTCATTCTTTTTTCGAAGTAAATTTTTAGCATTTCATTGGATAAATGCACAGCATTTGCTTGCCACAAATTAACCTCATTTCAGGCAAAGTATTTCTATAGTCCAATAAAAGTAGCTCGTGTTCTATTCGGCTGTTTTAAGTTTTGACATATTTGTATGCCGTTTGTTCTATCAGAAAATTCAACACATTTTCGGTCCTTTATTTTGGCTGTGTAAAAAATAAAAATGTCAACCCCTAATAAGGAACTTTTCACTTCATTCACTCTTCTCGTTCACGTCCAGTATGGTGTTAAAATCCGTGTTACTTTGATTTAGTTACACCAATGAATGGA